GCTTCGCGTACAGTTTCAAACCACTGTTTGATAATATAAAATTGATAGGGATAGCACGCGTTGATACTTGTGTATTCAAATATTTTGAGAGAGCGGCGAAAATTCGCGGTTCGGTGGTATCCGCGGTTCGGTGGTTGATTACGTTAGCCTTTTCGACGGTGAGGTCACTGGTGGATCGTCTGTTCAGACCCTTAAGAGAGGTAATGTTTACTGCAAAGGGAGAATAGAAAATACTAGAAAAAGGTCATGTTTTTAAGACAGAACACATGATTAGTAGCATGGTACAGAGTATGTTCTGCTCACAGTTACACCTATAACTTCACTTGCGACCGCATCGATGCCTTTACCTGATTCCTATCTTCCCTGACGCGCTCTTGGGTATATCCTTCACAAAATCAACACCACCTCTGAGCTGCTTGTGGTTGGCCAACTTTGACTTGACATATCCCACTGACTCATCTTCCGAAGCTCTTCTGTTCCTTCTGACTCCAATATCTCTGAAAGTCACTAAGAATTGGCATGTTCTCTTAGAAGGTCGGCAAGGCCAGTTCTCGTAACTGCGGCAGCTATACGACCTTCACCATCTGGCAATGTTCCTTGGGTGATAGCTGAGCGAAGTAGTGGCCCTCCCAGTCGCAATTCGTTGAAGGAAATAGCAAATAAAAAATATCCATAAGGTGTGACAGCTGGATAATCCTCCTCGAGTAGGTCGGCAAAAGCTGCCTGCAACCAGATAGTCCTCTGCTCAACAGGGCCATTGGCCGTTTCGTAAGGAATAGGGAACGACCAGCCGACGTAGTCTGGTTGGATTCCCAGAAGTTGAAGATCATATGGATGAATTGTAGGATTCGTGGCTCCAGTGTCATGGAAAAAACAACAGGCGAAGAATGACTGAATCCATTGGCTTAACTCGCATCACATACTGCGAAGAGGTTTAAAAAACTCAGCAAGCGAAAGCGAAAGACATAAAACAATGAACTATCAAAATGTCTCCGATTTCTAAGTTCAAGAAGTATATTATCCAAAATGTCAATAGAACTTCATATGTCAGGTAGGTAGAGGCAACATACTTGATGATGTCCAATCCCATTGGGATATAATGTCTGACGGAATGCTGGCATCATGTAACGTGGTCCTTGGCACTGTATATTGAAGAAAATATAAATAAATCGATTTCAGAATGAAAGACTGAATTTAGAACACACTTACCGACTCGATCCAGATACCTCTCGGGTTGGGGAATTCCCCCCACAATACCTTCTTGGGGTCAAATTGTGATAAGGGTCTCGGGCCCGCTACCCTCTTCCCTTCTTTAAAGATATAATATTGCCCGGAGATATATTCTAAGGTTCCGGATTTATAGCCCTCCAATACGGCAGCAGCATTCTCAGCATGCTCGCCTATTACTGGACTTGCCAAGAGACCCTCAAGCTCCCCAATCCTACGTTCCAAGGGGGATTTTGCCGGAGGCTGTTTGTCAAGTTCTTCGAGCAAGGCACGGGCGACTTTGGGATCGGTGTCACCTGATTGGACGCGAGCTTCAATGGCTTCGCGATACTTTGCAGAATTGGAGCTAGAAGTTCTTTAGGTCGAGTGACTTCTCCACTTTGAATACCACTTACGGGAAGGGTAAGGGAGGGAGAGCAGGCTTTCTTTCCATGGGTACAAGTAGCAGAAGTCCTTAAGTCGCTAGGTACTGAAAACAAGTGAGACTGCAAGGGTTCGATGAGAATTAATGGATTCAATGAAAAGAAATGATGCAACCGCAACGTCGTGATGCTATTCATCTAGCTCATGGATTCCATCTTTCGCCAAGTTCTAGGAGGCTAGGTAGGATACAAGAAATGGGGCGGTTATCATGTGATTATATCACGTGATGTTGGTTAATCTCTCCCCTAACAGTAGAAGTGTCCGGTGGGTGGGCTATCATGGTCAATGGGGTCTCCGAGGTCGTGGGGTCAGTTACCGAGATGATGAATGTCTCTGCGATGAGTAGGCGACTTGATTGAAAGGCATTACGAGCTATATCATAGAGCTACTTGTTGAGTCTCCCATTGTCGGAAGGAATCATTCATACATTACTGAACTCCTTCTAATGATATAATCTAAGTGATTCAAAACGTCTACCTAGACGTCTATATATGCGCGCTTGGGTGGAGCAATCTTTACAAAGCTCCCCGGAGAAGAAACGCTTCCTCAATATAACTGAATATCCAAGAGACGCTTTGCCGTCTATTTATGCCGTCGTAAATCGAGGCCCAGAAAACGCCCAGACAGCATCTTGGCCATTAAAGACCGCCATTCTGCTTCAGAGCACCAGGACGAGACCGGGGTTTTGAAGCTGTCCCAAAGCCATTTATACGACCGTAGAGCCATTTCAGGGTTGCGGTGCTCAGCGCCATGACGATGGCGCTCATCACAAAAAGACCCACGCGGCCTTCGAAAGGCACCTGCTCAAAGATCGGGTAGGGGTACCTGGTCGTTGTTAGCAACCCACTGCTCACGACTGAGGTATGTATCCAGCGCACCATCCGTTGTACTTGTAGCACTGTTCGATCCAAAACCAGTAGCCAAACGCGATTGTGCTTGATAGACCAAGGGCCGGTATGATACTGATCGCCCACGGAGGGGAAAGAAGGAGGAGATCGATCAATAGAACAATGGATGGTACGGCGTGGAAACCAATATCTGCAGAGCGATATGATATTAGCTCAAGGATAGATCTGAATAAGAGATAAGCTTGAGGACTTACCAGCATGCATGGGAATGTAAGCCCAGTCTGGTACCACCAAGCGCTCGTCGATCTTATAGTCTTCGTCAGGAACGGAAATGTGGGTATACGTGTGCTCGACTACCCACCATGCGAAGACTCCAGTATAGAAAACTGATAAGAACCTCCATCGGAGTGCTGCATATCGACAAGAGGTTCTTAACGAGGAATAGCCGGGCGGACAGGGTCAGATCCGCTAACAGCGCGACAGCAAAAGTGAGAGTAGACAATGCAAGACCGATAACGGTTAGATACTGAAAATGCCAACCATAGGCTTCGTTACTGCGGAGCATTTGAGATATTAATATGCGGGAATTCCGAGCCCGTGGCATTGGAAAAGCTTACGCGCGATTTGGATTCTCGTGCATGCTGAGGTATTAAGTTAGTCCAATAACCACACCAGATACAGATCTATAATGATCGTCTGCTGACGACAATCCTCATCATAATAAAGATATATAAAGAAGGTCCATGTCACCCACAATTTGAATGAACCGATGAAGCTGGCTAATCCTATTAGCTTGAGGGAACATCAGCCATGGAACAAACACCCAAGGGAACAGCGACCAAACGGGACACAAGCTCACATGGACCAAGGCAGAGAATCCCCGGGAAGGGCTGGACATCCGTTGTACAGGATGTTTCGCAACCAGGGAGGAGGCCATTGTTAAGAAAAATACGTTTTAGGGTCAAACTTTATAAAACTGAAGATATCTAGGTTGACGATAAAGTACTCGTTTGGCAGAAACGTCAGCAGAACAGAAGCTGGCGCCGCTGACCAAATCAATCAGCGTCATCGTCCTCCTCAACCTCAGGCATCCGACTGGCACCGACGCTAACCGGATTGATCACTAGACGAAGCAGCCCGGAGACGTTGGCTAATAACATCACCGGCTTATCAGCTGCTCTGGATCAGCCTAGCAGTCTTAGTAGTCCAGGCCATTACCTATCGGCTCCAGTTATCGTCTTCTCCACATTTGAGACTCAGAAAGCGGGACCCGATTGATCGAAAGAGCCGATAACAGAAGTGTCCAACGAGCAGGAGCCAAGGGGGTCATTTTGGGTTTATCGGTGATTCTGCATATCTAGGTATCTATGTATTACCCACTGGCCCAGGTTCTCCGCTTTTCCTCGTGGTCTTTGAGTTTCATCTATTCCATTACCTTTGTTCTCTCCTTGACTTCTTCCAGACTTCTTCTCCTCGCTGTTGCCAACTGGCGCTGTCGCTACCAACTCCAAAGCCTTGTCGCGCTCGGCTGATCGTGGTATAAACAAGTGGTAGTTCGTCGCTCAAATTTCTCACACCTCGATGAGTACGAACACCAAGTGTGGCTGCCTTATCGATTATCGCTACCTATCCAGCTGGACAAAAAGATTCTCACGACGGAAAAAGTCCCCAATCGTCATTCTCCAGGTGTCTTGAGGTCTTATCGTGTCCGTATGGCGGTCATACTTTGCAGAGTACGATTTATCGATTCATCCAGTCGCTACTGCTATTTTTCGTCGGATCTTTGCACTCAGCCGAATCACTCAAGTCGCACTTGAAGTGCAATGCCTCGTCCTAGAAGGCCGGGTGCGCCTGAGCCAAAACGAAGATCCCGGAAGGGTTGTTGGTAAGTAGTCTGACCACCAATGGCTCATTTTTTGTCATTTGATTAACGGACAGAGATCCAGGCCGTGTAAAGCGCGGAAAGTCAAATGGTATGTTTCTATTTCCTGTTCCTTTTCTCTGCTCCATATCGTTAGAAAACATCTATCTGACAATGACATTAGTGGCGAAGAGAAGCCGTCTTGTCTCAACTGCCGGCGTCAGAATGAGAAATGTGATTACAGTATCAGGCTAAACTGGGAAGGTAGAACGAGGCGGAAATCCTCCGTTGGTTCCCCAAGTTCTCAGTCTAGTGGTCACTCTGGTCATTTTCTCTCTTTGGCCGTGCTGCCTTCGGATTTTGCAAGGGTTGATTCCCTTGGATCTGGTCAAGGAGAAGGCAGTCCGCAGGAGTTGACTTCACAAAACACACTTTGGGCTACCGCTCATGGGTCACCTGTGGTAGCGGAGACATCGTGCTCTAGAGAGCTACACAATTACCTTGAAACGTTAACGTCTCCTGCTTATTCTGGTCACTTGAGCAGTAGCTTCCCCTATTTCAGTGATAGAGCTTCAGTAGGAATAGCGTCACCATCGCAAACAAACGATACGATAGGCTCATGGTCCGATACGTCGCCGCAAATGATGACACTGCCACATGAGGCGCTTTCGTCCTGCACTTCCTCGACCCTTCACCCTTCTGGAGACGTTGCCTACCCGTCGCCAGCAGATACAAGCTCGAGTATCGGGTCTCTCACTACCCTAAGCTTCTCGCAGCCCTCCTTTTCATCACCTCTCTCCTTTATACGACAATCAGCTATGATGTCCCATCCGTTCATGCGTCCTTCTTTAGTGCATCCGCGTCACACGGGGAGCCGTGGGGAGAGAAAGTCCGTCTCAAACGGATCGGGTAGTGATTTTCCCTTTGACACCGATGACGACCGTCAGGCAGAAGGACTGTCTCCGCGGCATCGATATCCATTCGCACATTCAGATGTTGTCGATTTAGATTCTTCTAGTGCACTACGAATCGAGACGGCCATGAAATCTCCCGGCTCTAGTCCTAAAGTTACTTATTTCACCAAGATAATGAATGGCCCCATTGCCTCTGAAGACTACATGTACACCTTGCGACGCGATCCTGAAGCCATCTGTCAGCGTGATCTAGACGAGACTATCGAGCGTTCATCCTCGGAACGAAAATGGCATGCCTACTTGACTAGTGTGACCGATAATTACGGCCTCGATCATGGCCGTCCTGATTTGGATTTGAACCAAATGGATGATCATTCGGCTATCGACATCAATTACGCTTTGGACTTGATTAATCCAGAGCGCCAGACCCGCACTACGTTCGAATCAGACTCTACGGACCGAGGACTGTCGAATAGTGTTGGACATGGGTACTATGCATCCCCTGTTCCCATCAACATTCCTCGGTACCTGTCACCATTGCCTTCGACCTTGGTGGAAACGCCCATCAACCTGATGTACTTTCACCATTTTCTCAACCACACAGCCAAAATGTTGGTTGCACATGATTGTAGAGACAACCCGTTCATCACGGTTTTACCGTCAAGTACGCTGCTTCCAATCTCGTCAATTGTGATATGTCTGACAGTAGATAGTGGCAATTGGGGATTCAAATATCTTGAACCTGATGCTAGCCTATTCCGCCAGCCACCGAGCCAGGTACTTGAACCACCCTGAACCTGCCAACAGGATAGCACACTGGGTCAGCAACGTCTTTCCTACCCTGCGTATAGCGCTCGAAGACCCGAATCAGAACATCACGGACAATCATCTTGCTGCCGCCATTATGCTCTTATCTTTGAAGATCATTTCGCCAAGCACATTCGAAGTACCAATTCCGTGGCAAAGCCACCTGAAGCTCGCTCGTGACCTTTATCTTGCACGCGGAGTGCAGATGGCATATCCTGGGAATCCAGTTGGGTCTTTTCTTTCACGCTGGCTGGGATATATTGATATCCTGGGATCTCTCTCCTGCCGGGACAACGAGCCTCCTCTGTTTCTGTATCAGTCCATTGTTAGTGCATGCTCGACAACTCCGGGAAATGACGATTTCTTTATCGACTGCTTCACCGGATACACGACAAAGACTGCATTGTTGCTATCACGCTTGGCCAAACTAGTTCACCAGTGCGAGAAAACCCGCCATAGTCCTCTGAGCAGTTTTGATCCTGACCAGAGGCCCTCGCCGGATATCGTTGTCGAAGCCGAATCATTGCTTGCTGATTTCCAGCTAGCCGATAATCTGGCACAGATCAACAGCCGACACCACCAAGAACCTGTGTCTGCGGACATGTCGGCGATCGATCGATCATTCCGATACGCTGGGCTGGTCCACCTTCACCGTCGCGTGCTCTGCAATCCATCAAGATCCGCTCCTGCCTTGAAGGCTTTGGACGGGTTACTCGAAGCACTGGGACAACTTGAACCTGGTGCATCGGCCGAAGTCGGAGCATTGTTTCCACTTTTTACCGCCGGTTGTGAAACCCGAGATTTGCAACAACGGGCTGATATAATGGAGCGAGTCAAGAGCTTGGAGAAGACAGGCCTGAAGCAGGTACGTGGTCGAAGGACTTCGGTATTGCGCAATCACTAACACATTTGTTGCAGATCCAAAATGCTCGTACGCTCATGCAACGTTGCTGGGATGAAGACTTGCCGTGGAGTTCTCTGGCGCAAGGGGAGTTCTTGGGGTAGCCCGAGGCTCTGATACTCGCAGAAGTGCAGAAGTTTATGAACAATAACTGGGACAATTATGAATGAATATTCTTGGTGAACTGAGTTGCTTATGGAGAATAGCCTCAAGCATCATACCAGTATGAGAATAATTACTGCCGGGAAAAATATTCTATTAAGGATCATGACCTCCCTGCCCCAGGGCTCGTGGCAAAAGGTAGCAATCTATGTAGCCTTGAAACGATCTCCGGGTAATCTTCGTCATCCTCCGCTGTAATTAGGCCATGTCGGACAAAGAAGTCCACCATGACACTTGCACTCGCGGGCTTAAACCTCCCCTCCGCCATCGCATCCAGCACCTCTCGCACATCCATTAGATGAAACGCACAAACATCATCCTCATCCACCGGCTTGAGAACTACCTCGGGGCCAACCTCAAGATCATAAACATACAGCAAACCAGGATTCAATAGTCCTGGCTCCCCGCCCGCCCGGTCATCGCTGATATTGAACCATGTCACCGTGCCCGCAGCATGCGCCGTTCGAACCATGTTCTCCTCCATCCCTGCCTCCTCCTCCGCCTCGCGAATCAAACAGTCTATCGGCATCTCACCCGCCGCAACACCCCCCGCGACAGCATTATCCAGCATCCCCGGATACGTTGACTTCTTCGGATTTCTCTGCGGCACCCAGATCTTCAACCCGGACTTCGTCCGCGTGTACACAGTCATGTGCACACCACGCCCGACGATCCCGAACAGGGATATAGCCGAGCGCTCGATACTCACGGGGAACCGGGCACCGACGATGGGAAACCGCTCGTCGCGTCTCTTGCCCAGTCTTGGGAAGACGCCTCTTGCCCTGGCGAGCGCGAGGAGGGCGTCGAGGCTACGCTCGCAGCGCTCTGTCCAGGTTTCTTGCTCGCGCGCGTGGTCCTGTGGGAGGAGATGGATTTCCTTGTGCGGGGCAGGAAGCACATGGAAGTCTTCTGTCCAGGGCATGCGTTCAACGACGGGCTCTACGAGGTAGCCGTGGGGTCTGGGGTCGTTGGGGAGGAAGAATTTCCATAGTGTGGAGAGTTGTTGTTCGTAGGCGGCTGTTTCGCCGGGTTGGTTGTAGGGGAAGCTGCGGTTGTTAGTGGTGGTCTAATGGTATAGGGTAGGGGACCTTACTTGTCGCAGTCTTTGACTATTTCTAGTATGCGTCTCTTCATTGTGGCTGGTTTATTGTGGCCAGTGGGAGTGTTCCATGACTTGTGATGACATTTTTTGATGCCCCACTACCTATCGAAAAGATATTTTTGGGTTCCGCGGCCCAACTTAATCGGTGGATCTATCCGATCCACTCTTCACTGAGAAAGTGTCTGACCCTGAGAACCTTCTCCCAGATACTTGCTGTCTTTATGCTTTTTACCTGATTAATCTCTTATGCTTCGCAACCACGCTGCAACTGAATCACGAATTATTCTGTGCATCACATTGTTTCATCCGAACTGGCATAGAATACTAGACAAAAGACATTGTCTGCTACATCCGCCCAGAATATTTCACATGTGGCAAGTTTCAAAGAATGACCTGTTCCTCCCTATCAGACACTGAGTATACCAGAAGAGAAGACTACTAGTGAAACAGTGCGCAGTCTTTCCGCTCCAAGTCTTATCATTGTTGCTAAAGCCTGATAGCTCAAGACCTTCAGACGTTGTGACCCCGAAGGACAATGGATTGGTGTCCATCACTTGTGCTTTGTGTCTTCCTCGTGGTGTTGACTCCATCTCTCCGATCCTGTACGGTGATCCCTGGTATCTCCTGGAAACGCTCACCATTGAAGAGTATCTACAGTGTATCTTAATCAGCTGATCTTTAGCTCAATTCACTCAGTATAAGTTGCTGGATATCAAGCTGTTCGTACTCATCTCTTCTCTCCCCCTCAGTGCCATACTTGCTCCTTACAGAGACATTCTGTGCCTCTAGTCTCACATCAAGTACCTCCCCACGCTTCACATTTGATCTGATAAACCGCAGTAGATCTCCTAGGTAAGCGTTAGTCAAACCCAGATCACCAAGAAACATCAGCAGCTTACTAGGGCATTCTTAACATAGTGGTAGCTTGTTTATGTCAATGCAACCTGCCTTTGTCACTGATAATTCCTTTGTTTTGCTTTAAAAAGGTCTCACTATACACTCCTTATTCCGTTCATACTAACCTCACTCTCAAATATAGGAGCTTTCAAAATTGATCCACATTCCGGAACATTGTGGACAAAGGCCTTCCTAGAAGTCTTCACGACTTTTCTCACATATAATTGCAATCTATTCTCAAGTAGAATTCACCTAGAAGTGAGAAGAGAGCATTCCCGAGAAAAATTCTACTTTATACTCTGTGTTCGCATCTGCTGCAGATTTCCACCTGATTCTTTCCCAAAATGGAAGGATGTGATCCCCTCAACACTGGTCCCATCTTCTCCCTTACAATGCTTCTTCCCCTCCTGCTTGTTCTTTTCATTCTATTTCGTCGTCTTGATGCCTTAATTTTGGCCATGGCTCAAGCATCTCATCCTCCAGAAACCCTTCGCTCCCAGGCGAACAAGGAAACTCACCATAAAGAAAACAACACCAACACAGAGGACAATGATAACACCATCTCTGAAAATACCTCTCCCAAAAGCTTCGCTCTTGAACAAGTTTACTCTGAAAAGACCGCAGTAGTTATACTCAATCCACGAAAATGCTCCAACATCCTGGACAGTCACTTGGACGACATTAGAGTCCCAATCTTGCAGCCTAAGACACCTCAGAGGCGGATGCACCTCGCTGTCACCAATCCAAACCAATTGAGAACAGTGTCACTCCAACTTACTGACTCTGATGGTCTGCTTGATGCTGGCCTAGAAGACCTGATGATTCCGGTGTTGGAGCCTGAGCGAGTGAGTGATCTCAACGTAATGTAACTAGAGGTTGTGCTACTAACTCATCACTTTCAAGAAACCTCTTATCGTCGCTCGTGTACGCAAGAACTCCGATGCAACGAAGCCTTGGCGACTAGGGATGGCTACCGTTCCCTGGGATGGCAATATTCGCTGGGCCATAAAGGGATGTAGTATATTTGAGAATCAGCAAGATGAGGCCGATGCCTTCTCTTATCGCCCGAACCTTCTTTCTCGGCAACCCGTCTCGGATCTCTGGATTTTCCAGTACGGTCTCCGATATATTCCTGCTGGAGGGGAGTCAAATGTGTTTCGCACTGTCCGGGTGGAGAAGCTCGCGTCAAACGTGACTCTGAGCCAGGTACTGCCATTTGTTCCGGGGGAGATCTACTCGGCTTCTCTCTGCAACACAAGCCCTATCACGGGGTATAACACTGTGATTGTTGTGTTTGTGCTCGAGGGGGATGCACTAGACTTTGTTCAGAGATCAAAGGAAGGACTTTCTTTGGGCTTCTGCGTGGCCAGCGTTGGTCTCGTTCACACTCCAACTTACCCCATGACGTCCGAGATGAACCAGCTCATCTTTCAGAAGGGGTATACCCGGTGCTTGGTCATCAGCAACCATCGGAGGTCATTGAGGGATGAGATTTACCGCGTACTGAAGCGGTCTGCCTACTACAACTATATTGAGAGCGTGGAGGAAGGACAGGTGGTGGGTGATATCTATGTCCGTTTCTATTCAGTCAAGATGGCCGCAGCCGCGTATGATCTTTTTCAAGGTCATCCGAGCTTTGAAAGATGCAGCATTAAATTTCTCAGAAAGGCCACTGAGTAAAGGCTAGTCATAATGGAGACGGAAATCGGGTTGGCTGGGGCTAGACGTTGGCTTTTTCTAAACAGGTTCTGGAATCATCTCTCGTTGTTTATTCATTATTCATCACCATGCATTCATGGCGTCCTCTTTTGTGTTGGCCGTGGCAAGTCCGAGCTAAAGGACATTTAGCGAAATCAAAAGAATTTGGTCGGACAAGTGTCCGATACACAGACCAATGAGCCCCTTCCGTAGTAAAGGGAGAATCGATGAGTTGTAAGGTCGAGCGCGTGGTTGCACTTCGTATTGGTGGTCACAACACCATGCATAAGGAGAATCCCGCGTGGCATCGGGTGCTTTTATTCAAGCTTAAGGATTGGCTATCCCTCCGCTATGTCTCCGACTTGGTGATGGTCTAGTACTAGCAGACTAATACTAGGTTAGACTTTTTGACTGTCTGCCAGCCATTCTTTGGCCATCTGTTTTTGTAATTTGTTAGAGATTACAATCCGCGATGAGGCTGTCCGTATGTGTCCTTACCCATAGCTATTCGGGGTATCGGCTCACATCTAGAACAATCAACATGCGTGTAGGGGTGGAAGTGGTCCGGTCAAGCCTTGAGCAAGTCAGCAACCTGGAGATGCCCCGCGGGGTATTTGGGTATTTGGGTATTTGGGCCATCCCGCGCTAAGCCTCCCGCTTCCGGAAAGGAGCGATGGGGCTCGGGCTCGGCATTCCCGTCTGATATGCTTGTTGCTTATCAATTCAATTCATGGAGTCCGTGGACCGTGAGGGGGAATGATCCTGGTTAATCGAGACCTGATGGGTCATTGGGGGAAAATGATCGACATCTGGTCGTCCACCGCAGTGACCGCACTTTGGCCTGGACCCCTCAGTAATGATGAATCCTTGTCAATGTCGCATCCGGGGAGGAGGAACCTTGCTTATTCCACGCGGTATATTAGAGCTACTCAAGATCAGTGGTAGGAATGGCGACGTAATTTCTTCTCTATCATTCCCTTGCTTCCCCCCATATCTTGTCCTGTCTTCTTCCCTGTCATTAGTGCTTGTTTCCCACCCCTATTTGCCCTGCTTTGCTTCTTCTAGATACACGCGGTACATACTCGTACTACCGTGACTAACCGGCACGCTATCATCATGTCACAACCGACCGATGAAAAAGCATCTGTCCACCAGGTGCCCCGAGAATCCGACACGGAGAAGGGGTCGGCGTCGCATGAATTCGCCCCAAAATCAAAGCTCAACCTCTTCGAAGATCCCGATGAAGGGCTCAGTCCGGAGGAGCGAGCCAAAATAGTACGATCGTGTTGATCTCATCTCTAGACAGTGCCCTTTGGCTGACCGACCCTAGGATCGCGCTCTGGTTCGAAAGCTCGACCTCAGATTGATCCCATGGCTCAGTTTGCTGTATTTGATTTCGTTTTTAGACCGGTATGTCCATCTCACTTGAATGCGACCTGCCATATTGACTCTCTATAGTACAAATATCGGCAATGCAAAGCTAGCTGGCCTGCAAAAAGATCTCCATATGACCAATGACCAATATAACGATAGCTTGACCATTTTCTTCATCTCGTACTCAGTCTTCGAGCCGATCACCAATGTCCTGCTCAAGAGATGGCGACCGAGCGTGTTCATACCTGCTATCATGCTCGCATGGGTAGGCCTTGCTTTGTCCTTGCTGCAACTTCGAGCTAAATAAATTCTAGGGCATATGTATGACGTTGATGGGTGTTGTGCATAATTGGTCTGGATTGATGGCGGTGCGTGTCTTCCTACAACCCTTTCCTTTTGTTCACCCGGGTTCCCACGTCCACTGTCATCCGACATGATCCCTAACAATCAGCAGGTCCGATGGTTTCTCGGACTCAGCGAAGCCGGTCTCTTCCCAGGGGTCGGTTACTTCCTCTCCTGCTGGTACAAGCGAGCAGAATTCGGTGTACGTATGGCCATTTTTTTCTCTGCGGCTGCGCTCGCTGGCTCTTTCGGAGGTCTTCTCGCTGCTGCCATTGCTCACATGGATGGAATTGGCGGCAAGGCAGGCTGGTCGTGGATTTTCATCCTGGAGGGTCTGGCAACCATCATCGTCGGCGTCCTGTCGTTCTGGATGGTGCATGACTTTCCCGATGAGGCCAAGTTCCTGTCTGAGGCGGACCGCAAGCGTGTCCTACGCCGCCTTGCAGAGGACCAGCAGGCTAGTGCGGAGCATGAGCAGTTCAAGATGACCTATTTCTGGGCTAGTTTGAAAGACTGGAAGACCTATACCAGCGCTATCATTTACATGGGAGCGGATGCATCCTTGTATGCATTCTCGCTTTTCGTACCAACCATCATCAACCAGCTAGTGAGTTTTCTTAGGACAATCTGTGGTTCTATATGCTAACAGGGTCTAGGGTATGTTGTAGTACATGTTCATCGAGTGAATCGACTAACAAGGATAAGGGTACACTGCCACCAAGGCTCAGCTACTCAGTGTTCCACCATACGCAGCAGCGGCTATTGTGACGGTCACAGTAGGTTTCATTGCTGACCGCACGCGTCAACGTGGTATTTGCAACATCCTCGTCTCTCTCGTCGGCATTGTTGGTTTCGCAATGCTCCTCGGTTGCAAATCCGCCGGGGCACGGTATGCGGGGACATTCCTCGGTGCCATGGGCATTTATCCTGCCATTTCAAATACCATCTCCTGGGCCAGCAACAACACTGAAGGTGAGCATCTCCGGGTCGATGAATATCGGAACATCCTGACAGCATGATTTAGGTGTCTATAAACGAGGTGTAACGCTTGGTATCGTCATCGGCTGGGGTAACCTCAACGGAATCGTATCCTCCAACATCTACCGAGGCAAGGACGCGCCCAACTTCTATCCTGGCCATGGTACCGTGCTGGCGTATCTAGTCCTGTTCCTGTTTGGTGGTTCCCTGGTCCAGTATCTGCTCCTCAGACGCGAGAACCGCAAGCGTCTGCGCGGAGATCGGGATCATTGGGTTCAGGGACTGGATCGCAGTGAGATCGAGCTTCTTGGAGATCAGAGGCCGGATTTCATTTACACGCTGTGAACGCGAGATGATTGCTGACAATTGATATGTACCAATGAAAATACAACTTGCTTGGTTGAGGCTGTACGAATGGTATCTGGTAGTTTGAGGTAAAACGTCGCACGCGGCAACTATCCGTCCTTGCGTCTTCTGGAACATCTCGAGGACACCGTATCTAGAAAATCTGTCATGGGAGCTAGTGGTGAGTGGCTCCGGCTTGATGTAAAACACGAACACGGGGGGTGGTCTGCACGTAGGATATATCGTACGTCTCCGGGTCCTCTGGTGTAACTCTTGCCGTTGGTGCCCTCTCACCCCTCCATCCGATACAAATTCACAATATCCTGATTCTTCTTCGGCCCCTTGACAACATGTCGACTCGACCAGCTCACAACTTCCCCAGACTCACGCCGTACCCGGAACGCATACGCAGTCCGATACATATCATTGATGCACAGATGGTTCCCCCTCGCCATGATCACAGCCGTATCCTCTTCCGACCCGGGGACGAGCGGCGGCACAGGCGGCGTGACAAATGTCGACTCCTGCGTGTCCACCTTTTCCGTTCCGTCCTGCCCCTGCCCTTCAAAATCAAAGTTGTGAAACAGGTAATCCGCCTCATCCTCCTCTTCCTGGGCCTGCGGTTGTTTGGCGGTCGGCTTCACTTTTACAAACCAAACACTTATCCCCCCGTTCTCCCCCTGCCGCCAGATGTACTTCTTCGTCCAGCGTAGTCCCACCCCGAATGTACTCGGTAACTCGCCCTCCTCGCGGTAGACTATATCCCGGCGGTCGGTGGCGGCGGAGCCATGTCGGAGAGGGTGGAAGGATGCCGTGCCGCGGAGCTCACCGTTGATGTCGAGGGGGTTGTCGCTTTGGAGGGTGCGGAGGAGGGACCAGCGGCGGGAGGGTTGGGTGAGGGAGGTGAAGATGCCGTTCAGGAGATTGGGGGAGAGATTCGAGGCGCGGGTGGGAGGCATGGTGGTTGCGGGGTTAGTTAGGGGACAGGATGGTGTGGAATCGGTCATGTTGGGTGTTCCATTAGTTGTGTGGATGTTGGCAACTAGGTATAGGAGAATGTTTTGAGATGAAGTGCGGTGATGATTTATGGCAGACTAGGAGTGGTGGTAGTGGACGGGACGTGCCGCGGCAGTCCAACTCACTAGGTACAGTCTATCTACACTCTCTAGTCTTCAACACAACAAACACAGCAGCAGAAATACAGATTCATCGTTATCAAACCAATCTTTGATTTTATACTATCATCCCATTTTCTCTACGGCAGGCTTCCCCATCAAATGTCTCTGGCCCACAATAACTCCCCGGTACCGCATCTTGCCTTGCTCTAGGATCTGGAATGCAGCTTGGATTCCATCCTTGGTCATTGGCCATGTCATGATGATGGGCCGGATCCCGTGCAGTGACACAAACCGCAGCATCTTGCGCATAGCCACCCGCGATGCTACCGCGGAGCCCTGAATCCGAATGCCGTTCGGGATAAGATCTATGAGTGGCAGTGGGGGTTGCTCCGTGGTCACTGTCAGCAGATAGATCGTACTCTCGGGAGACATAACCGGAAAGATTCTGGGACGCAGGTGAGCAAGAATCTCTCTCGTAATCAAGGACAGAGCACCAACTTGGAAAAATCAGGTGCCGCATTCCCACACCAGAGGAGGTGCTTCACCGGCCGCACACCATCTCGCGGAGCACCGTTTTCAAGAACATGGAACTCCTTCGCTCCCAGGCCTATTGCCTCGTCTTTCTTTGTGACGGAGCTCGAGAACACAACCACGTCACATCCTAGCTTCGACGCAAACTGAATCGCCATATGTCCTAGTCCCCCGATCCCCTGGATCCCGACTCGGTCTCCAGGCTTCACATTGTAGCTCGTCAAAGCACCCCAGACGGTCGCTCCGCCGCACATCAGCGGAGCAGCATACTCGGGCTCCAGGTCATCCGGAAGCTTGATCAGCATGCTCTCGTGCCAGACGGCGTGGGTAGCGAATGAGCCAATCTCGGTGTTCTCTCTGCCGTACTGCTCGCGCTTCTGGCAGTACTGATCGTGGCCTGGAACACATAAAATCACCATCGATCTAAATGGGTAAGAGGCAAGTAAAATGTACATACCGCCAATGCAGAAGTCGCAATGTCCACACACCTTGCGCACCCAGCCGAAGCCGACCTTGTCGCCGACCTTGAAGTTCGTCACTGCGCTTCCGATGTCGCGGACGGTGCCTGCGCCCTCGTGGCCAAGGGCAATGCCCTTGTTCTTGAATAGCCGGTCTGTTCCGCAGAGCCCCGCGTGGGAGATCTCGACGAAGACTTCCAAGGGCTGAATGGTGCGTCTGACCGTGTCGGGGTTGACGTCCCCGCTCTCGGAGCCTTTGAAGATGTTGAACTCGATCGTTTTGGACATTGGGGCGGCTTTACACTGATAGATTTAGATTCTGGACTTTGCTGTGGAAGGACATGTGTATATTGTTTCCTCTCTCGACAGGCAGTCGTAAGGTTGTATATCGCAGGCAACGTCTGAATGAAGTCATTATCACGCCCTTGAGGACATGATGGCGCCCACGGTACGGTAGCAGCTCGCTTCTACTGAACAATGGCCTTTATTGGTGGACATACTGTCCGGTTTGATGGCTGCGATGATGCTCTTCATTCACGATGAACCAATGCGTCACTCGCTAGGTGGAAACGAGTCGCCTAGAAAATCCCGGCGTGTTCTTGAACCTTGACCTTCAGTCGTCGGATTTGAGGAATTTCTTTCCCTTGAGACATGCCAGGTGGCGCAGAGGAGACACAATTCGCATTTGTCACACAGTGACTTGCCGAGGAAGCTCTTTTATCTTCAATTCTATATTGATATTCAGAAATCGGTGCTGCAGGCAATTTCCTCCATCTCGTCCAGATTCTTTGTCAATTCATCCATCTTAACCCTTGCCCGTGACATGCAGTCCCGTCCCAATGGCAAGCGGAGAAGACCGGTCTTGCCGGCACCTACACCGGTTCCCTGTATTACATCGATAATTCGCTCAACTGCCTTGACCGGGTCACCTGCCTGTGTCCCGTCGCCGCGCTGGAAGACTTGTAGCACCTGATCGATGGCCGTGCCTTCGTACACGGGGTTCAATCCAGCGGCTGGGGTGGCATAGGCCGATAGGAAGTTCGTCCGAAAGGCGCCAGGCTCAACGATGAGAACTCGGATATTGAATGGGGCTATTTCTTTCGAAAGGGCCTCCGAGAAACCTGGTGATTGTCAGCCGAGAAGTCATTTCGGGCTTTCTTCTAAACGTACCCTCTAGACCGAACTTGCTGGCCGCGTAGAGTGAGCACGAAGGCAGAGCTTGTAACCCTGCGATACTGCTTATGTTGACAATGGTACCAGACTTTTGGGCCCGCATAAACGGGAGAGCGGCTTTGATGACTCGCATGGGTCCGTAGACGTTGGTGTTGATCTGTTGGTGGATCTCCTCCTCGCTGGGGTCGTCAGACGATGCCGATGTACTCCAAGTTCAGACGAGTCATGACACGGCATACCTCATATCCTCCACACTCCCGAGCAAAGCATAGCCTGCGTTATTGACGACAACGTCAATCCGTCCTTGCTTCCGGATGGCCTCCTCGACGGTTTCCTTTGTGTCCGGTCGGGTCACATCCAGCTGCAACCAGCTCCCACCTAACGACTCGATCTGAGGATGAGTTTGCGCTGCCCTGACAGGGTTTCGAGCGGTCGCGACGACTCGATGACCGGCTTTTAGCACGGCTTCTGCGAGGACGGCGCCGAAGCCGGATGAGGCGCCGGTGATGAGCCAAGTTTGAGGTGCTGCCATCGTACTGGTGTTTCTGACCTGTACTATTACGATGGATATTTCGATTGTCTTCCTAATTGAGCCACGGCTTATTTATACTATGAAGGCCCCGTGCTCGAGACCTGATGTTGTGACTCATGACGGAAATCGGTCCGCGTTGACGGGGCTAAGCTGTCGCAAAATCCGTCAACTCCGATGTTGACCATCATCGTGTTGCAGGTATATGATGATGGGCGGAGATATACTGACAAGGCAGATGTCAGAATTATCGCCGACTGGGTCTCCCTCGTCCGGTCGGTGCCAATATCAATAAGAGGATAGGACAGTGACAATACTCCAAGCTCTCAAATGTAGTCCAGCAAAAATCTCAAGCAACACGAGGAAGAAAAAACCATAGCGAAACCAGCTCCAAATGTTCATAACATGGTCTGTCGGCTGTTTGGCGAATGGCCAGCTTCATCGGAGAGACGTCGGTCGCAATCCTGGTGTCGCATCAATATCATCACACAAGAAACGACGAGGCGATTTTGATGTCAAAATAAGCAGTTGGTCCTTAAGAAGTCGAATTTTCGATCGAGCTTCTTTGAGATTGACATTCCTGCTGACATTCTTGCCCCTGTTCGGCCTGCAAAGTCGAAGATCAAGGGATTCTGGACCTCTTGAACGGTCGATCCATTCCGTCAATCCCTTCCCGTTGGGTCAGAGTCAGCAATGCCAGGTTTCGTCAGTGACCACGAGAAGTGAAAGTCTATCTGGATATGAAGTCAGAGTGACTGTTAGCTCCGTGGCTTGATAGCTCCTTGACAATGATGAAGTGTTGGAGTCTGATAGAAAAGGTCACGCCAAGAACAAAAGCAAGGACAATAATCGGAATAGTAGTACAAACGTTCCATTCGCTTTTTTTTAGCCTACGCAATATGGAGTACAGAAGTACTGTACACGCAGTGAAACTCAACCTCCGGCTCACATTGTATGTACGAGCCATGGTTCTTGGGCTGCAATATTTCTTTGATGGACTCCTCATGCTGACACGGAGATGACGTTGCGCCGCAACCGGACACAGATATTTTGAAACTTCCATGCTACTGTAAAGTGTAGGTAGAGTGTAAAGTGTAACCTGGCCCGAAGAAGGTGACAGGAAAGTGGATAGCTTCTTGTGTGCCTCAATGCCTGTGTGCCTCAATGCCTGAGTGCCTGAGTGCCTGAGTGCCTGAGTGCCTGACTGAAAGTAGTATCATACCTGGGGAAATAGTTAATTGGATCCTTTCAAGACGCAATTTAGATCCAAGGACACATTGGCTGTAGTCAACCAGGATTTGAGCATGCAATCGAATCAATTGCATCGAATCATCCACTAGACAAGAACTAGTCGTTCGTAGTCTTCAATATTCTCTCCGGCCGCTTGCGGAGCTGCTTTTCCTCCTGCTTATTTGACTAGTATTATTGATTCCACCATTTATCCACGCGGTCTTTTTAATTTACTCCAATCTGTCTCCATAATCAAGTGTCTGTGCCTGGACTTCACTAATTATTATTAACGTGTCAGGCGAGTTACTCTGCCTGGAGTCCTGGACCCTGTTCCAAATTTGCTTCTTCCTTTTCCTGTCTGTCTGCTCCTCCTCTTCTTCTACTCTCTTTTCCTTTCTTTGCCCAATCCGTCCCCCTCGTTGATCATCCGTTATCTCATCTGATCGAAACATTCTTTCGATCTCACCTATCTACAATTTCTTGTCATTCGTTTGATCTTCTACCTCTTTTTACATAAACTATCCTGTTTCTCCTTCCCCGTTCCTCCTCTTTCTTCGCCTTTGCGTATGATGGTGGGCCATCTATTGTTTCTGTGAGCTTCCCACCCGACGGTCTCCACCGGAGTCTCAACCTGCGTCGTCATGGCATATGGGCTGTTGGCCTGGACCGCCAACAATGCTGTTCTCAAGCGGACCTGTCGACTATACCACCTGTTGGTAATCGCCTTCTTCCTCACGACCACTGTACTCGCGACCACCGACACTATCTTACCTTCCGCCGCTTCCGCTTCGTTCCCAGAATGCGGGCTGTCATGCTCGTTGCTCCAGCAGGCCGCGGACAGCTGCCTGGCTAGTCCAGACGACACACACGCAGTCCATGTCTCTTGCTTCTGCCAGTCGACTCTGATCTCTCAACTCAAAACCTCTGCCGATGGGACCTGCGACTCTTCCTGCAGCAGCGAATCCGATAGACAGTTGTTGAAGACATGGTACAACAACTATTGCAATTCTGGGGGGGCCACGACAACAAGCACAGCAGCTGATCAAGCTGCTGCTGCGACGACCACATCAACCTCAGGCTCGAAAGTACAGGCCAACGAGTCCAAACCCAAGACCTGGTAAGCATACCGAGCCCTTGCGCCCCAACTACCTCGAAATGCCGCTGCTGACAATATGCTTCCAGGTGGGACGGTCACTACAAATGGGTCATCATGGTTATTGTCCTCGTCGTCGCATTCAGTATCATCGCCGCCGTGGCAACATGGCTGAAGAAACGCCACGATGCCAAATACCCGAATCTCTATCACGGTGTCGGCGGCAGCGGCAGCGGCAGCGGAACAGAGAGCGGATTGTTCTCCGGCCGCCCGCGTGACCAGAGTCCAGCCCCCAGCCAACCTGGTCAATTCTCATCGAACTTGGGCGGTCTTGCACCTCCGCCCCGGTTCAGTTACCCAAACTCCGAGTCAATCGCCAGTAGTTCGCGCACAGAGGTCGTACCCTCCAAAGCGCGGTCTGGCCGCTCTTCGTCGCGTTTGGCAAAGACACCGCAGTCGGCGGACGACGACGTCGAGATTCGGGAGGTTACTCGATGATTCGCGGCCAGTCGTTTGTCATTTCTCGGTGACTTTGACAAGACTCGTTAGTCGAATGATGCGAGCAACCAGCCCAACGCGGTTGCATCCCATTCCTCCTTGGATTTTGTTCGGTGTTATGGTACTCGATGACCGACACCTCCTCAAACTTGCATATATCCGGCGTTTACATGTCTATCTTTTGAATCTTCTTGAAAATGTTTCCCCTCGCCGTCGAATCAGTGCGCATACTTACTTTCTTGGTTCCTTTTCTCTGTTCTATCTTTTGCGGGATATAGTAGCTTTGATTCCCCTCATGTTTGGTCCTCTGTGCTTTGGGGATCTTGTCGGCTTGCACTGCCTAGCTAGGACTTTCCTTGACTCTGTCCTGATGGATGTCGTACTCCAACAGGATACAGAGACGCCCTCCAGTCCTGCTGTAAGGCCGAGTGGACTTTTCTACAATGGCTCTCTAAGATAATCTTGCTGTTTCAAAACCTGGAACAAAATAATTCTTGGCTCTTGCTAGATACGCACGGGGTAATGTACATGCAGATAGATGGTTTCGGAATATATGGCAGTCGTCATGAACCGTTTAGAAAAGTAATTGGGAATCGTTGACTGCGTTTCGCTCAAGTCACAGTAATGCTCACGATCTTGATGTCCTGCTCCGGCTTCTCCTTGTATGTTTTGGTGTTTTCGATCTTGTGTACGACGTCTAAACCTTGCACCGCCCGTCCAAAAATAGTATGTTTGCCATCCAGCCAAGGTGTCTTCTCCGTCGTGATGAAGAATTGACTGCCGTTGGTGTTAGGCCCCGCATTCGCCATGGACAGTGTATACGGTTTGTCGTGCTTCAGACTGGAGAACTCGTCCTCGAACTCCCCTCCCCAGATAGACTCCCCGCCCGTCCCGTCACCGAGCGGATCACCGCCCTGGATCATGAATTTACGGATGACCCGGTGGAAGATAGTATTGTTATAGTACCCATTGCGCGCATGGGTGACGAAATTCTCAACTGCCTTAGGCGCCGCCTGCGGGAAAAGCCGCAGGTGGATGTCCCCCATGGTGGTGTGGAGGATGGCCGAGGTGCCCGTCTCGGCGGCCTTTTTGGCGGTTGTCTCGCGGGCGTCGGCCTGCGTGGGACGCTCGTTCTGGACGTCTCGGCTAGATTTGGAGATCTCGGTCTCGTTGGTGAAGAGGTAGAAGCGGATCTTTGCGAAGCCCGTCGAGACGAGGATCGGATCTCGTTCTTCGGATTCCTGGAGGAGGGGGTTGGCGCTTGCGGCCATGGAGACCGTGACGACGCCTTTCTTCTGTGGTTGGCCCTGATACAGGGCCAGGTTGAGGGGGCGGAAGGGTTCGTCCTTTGCGTAGACGCGGACGACGCGGTTGGTGTAGGTGTTGATGCATTTGACGCCGTAGAGGGAGCCGTAGAGCACAAAGTGGCCTGATTCGTCGAAGATGACGTTTACTTTGGGTTGGGTGATGGGATTCTCGAGTTCACGTTCTGTGGCGAGGCGGCGGCCGAATTCCACCTCATCGAGTGCGTAGAGGGCCGTGCCGGCTTGCTGCATATCTGTAATGGTGGTGAGAGATTCGTCGTATTTCCGGTAGAGCTTGCCCGTCGCGAAGTCGAAGACTCGGACCTGCCGGTCGGGAAATGAGACGGTTGCAAATTGCTGGCCCGATGGTGATATTGTAACGGATGTGGGTACGGATTTGGATTTCTTGAACTCGAATAGGTTCGTGGAGGATTTGAGCTCGAATACATTATCCGGCTTCTCAAACGAGCCGTCGCTCGCGCGCCAGTACTCGACCATACCGGACTGGTCGGCTGAAATGACACAGTCGTATGCATTGTTGAAGGCGATGGCTGCCACGGGGCTACGGTGGATCGATTTGACGGTGTTCAAGGGAGTGGTGTTCTCTCCACGACCATCAAAGACCTGTATCATGGGACTATTTTCGTCCGTCACAGCTAGCAATGGGAGCGATGCGCCGCGAGGGTGTACCCAGCAGACACAGCGCGGTGTGAAATCCAAGGAGAGCATGGCCAGCAAATCTGAACACGCGATTAGTTTACAGAATAGAAATCACAGCGGAGATCAAGCCTACCGAAAGTGATAACGTCAAAGATTTTGATCGTCTTGTCCGCACCAGCCGTCGCAAAACTCCTTCCGTCGGCGCTGACGCTGACGCTCTTGATCTCCGCAGGATGGGCTCGGAATTCCTTGATGAATTCGACTCCGACAGCCATTTTCTTCCAAAACTTCACGATACCATCCATCGACGACGTGATAAGAAAGTCTGTGTAGGGGGTCATCGTAACAAAGGACAGCTGCTCCTTGTGCATGAGCGATTTCGAGTACCGCGGAGACGCGGGCAGCGCATTCACGTAGACCTTCTCAAAGGGTAGCTTGCGTCGCTTTTTCTTCGGCGCATCGGCGGAGGGTAGAGCTGGACCAAAGTCATCGTCTGACGATGAGCCATTTCCTGAGAGCCTGTATCAGTATTCTGCTTTTTCAGTCGGAATCAGATGCTGTTCGGGGAGAGTCCAACACACCATTCTCTTCCTCATCTTCAATGGCAGCATGAGGACGTTTATTGACTGCAAGCTTCGCTTGTTCGTCAGTATCCGCCATTGTGAAAAGATGAAAATGAAAGATTTCTTTTGAGATGGTACAGCGAGGAGCCTGCTTAAATTGAATTGGGGATGGTTAGGAGGGACTTCTTAGGCGGGCGGTCTGTAGCTACAACTTGAGCTCGGGCCACATCGCCAACTTTTCTGGACGTCCCGCATTATTATTGAATCCTCAACGGTGATTCTGAACCAGTATTCCCCCCAGCTGCCTGCTTTCCTCCTGCCGGTAGCTACCTCCTAATTACCTACTATTCATCATGGTGCGTCGTCTTCTATATTAACACCTTAAATTTCATAATGCTGATGATCTGCAGGCGTCCTTCGCCAATCCCACGCAGATCTTTGCGGACGATGTCGTCGAAGAAAAGGGCGAAAATGCCCGTCTGTCCGCTTTTGTCGGTGCCATCGCTGTTGGTGACTTGGTGAAAAGCACATTAGGTCCTAAGGGAATGGACAAGATCCTTCAGTCAGCGTACGTGGGGTGGTCTCCTGGGAATGCGGGGTTTGCTATACATGAGCTTGCAGAACTGACTGTCGGGGTAAAATAGGTCGACCGGCGACATCCTCGTGACAAATGACGGTGCTACAATCCTCAAGTCGATTGCCCTCGATAACGCCGCGGCCAAGGTGCTGGTGAACATCTCCAAGGTCCAGGACGACGAAGTTGGTGACGGAACGACGTCCGTGACGGTGTTGGCAGCGGAGTTGCTGCGTGAGGCAGAGAAGCTCGTGAACCGCAAGATTCATCCTCAGACCATCATCGAGGGCTACCGGATAGCCAGCAAGGCCGCTCTGGAGGCCCTTGAAAAGGCTGCCGTCGACCGAAGCAAGGATATGGAGGCTTTCCGCAAAGATCTTCACGCCATCGCTCGGACAACCCTCAGCTCCAAGGTTCTGGCCCAGGACCGCGAACACTTTGCTGCTCTCGCCTGCGATGCAGTTCTCCGGTTGAAGGGCTCGACCGATCTCAGCCACATCCAGATTATCAAAAAGGCCGGTGGCAAGCTCAGCGACTCCTACCTGGACGAAGGCTTCATCCTTGACAAGAAGATCGGTGTGAACCAGCCCAAGCGCTTGGAGAATGCCAAGATTTTGGTTGCCAACACCGCCATGGACACCGACAAGGTCAAGATTTTCGGTGCACGGGTCAAGGTCGACTCGACGGGCAAACTGGCCGATCTGGAGAAGGCGGAGCGTGAGAAGATGAGAGCCAAGGTTGAGCGGATCAAAGCTCACGGCATCAATTGCTTCGTCAACCGTCAACTCATCTACAACTGGCCCGAGCAGCTCTTCACCGAGGCCGGTATCATGTCCATCGAGCATGCCGACTTCGACGGCATTGAGCGACTTGCCCTGGTCACTGGTGGTGAGATCGCTTCGACCTTCGATCACCCCGAACAGGTCAAGCTCGGCCAGTGTGATGTTATTGAGGAAGTTATCATCGGCGAGGATACACTCATCAAGTTCTCGGGCGTGGCTGCCGGTCAGGCATGCACCATCGTACTGCGCGGTGCCACCGAGCAGCTCCTCGATGAGGCAGAGCGATCTCTCCATGATGCTCTGGCTGTTCTCTCTCAGACAGTCAAGGATCCCCGGGTCACACTGGGAGGTGGCTGTGCCGAGATGGTGATGTCCAAGGCTGTCGAACAGGCGGCCCAGAACACGACCGGCAAGAAGCAGCTAGCTGTTGATTCATTCTCCTACGCCCTTCGGCAATTGCCTACTATCCTGGCCGACAATGCCGGTTTGGACTCGAGCGACCTGGTTACAAGACTCCGCCAGGCCATCAACAACGGCATGACCAGTTCCGGTCTGGATTTGCTTACCCCTGGCGGCGGCATTGCCGATATGCGGGAATTGGGTGTTGTGGAGAGCTACAAGCTGAAGAAGGCGGTTGTTTCCTCGGCATCAGAAGCGGCAGAGGTAAGCATGGTCGTTTACTCGATTTGCAGATAATTCTTGACTAACGATATCCGTCTACAGCTTCTCCTGCGTGTCGACAACATCATCCGGGCTGCTCCTCGCAGGCGCGAGCGTATGTGAAGAATGGGAGAGAATGGGTTGTCTTCAGTACAGGATTTATGATACAGCGCGAATGATGATAATAAATTAAATATCTCTGGGTCTGAGCAGGAAGTTTGAGTCTGTATCCTCTCTCAATGTAGGTCTTTTGTATGGTCAACCTAAAGAAAATGCGTAATACTGTGACCATCCATCTTAGTACATATGTGTCTTAGGCCGCTGGACATTTCTGTGATCAGCCTGCTGCTTCCCTGCTGCTTTACTCGAAGATAGTGAGTCTGCGGACCCAATAAGGCACACTCCCGATACAATGACACGCGACGACCCACATGCTGTGTCATTTTGATTTCTGATCATCTCAATAGCTACCCGTAGGAGTAGGACGGCGGAAGAAGCACTGCGGGACTAGTCGATCACTTAGAATACTGTCATTCGTCATCCATCCGTACGTACTCGGTCAAGTCCATATGAGGGGTTTAATGGCTTCAATCCATTTGAGTGTTGGTGACCCGATGCATACATGTACTTTATCATGGCTAGGACCCTAGGCTTGTAGGTAACACATGTCAAATGGCTGGGCGATTTAAGCAACGGGGCCAAGGTCTTGGTGGTTAGTTGCCGCTATTTTTAGATGCTGAGTGACACAAGACAGACGCTTCTAACACCGGAGTTGATCTTCATTGTGAGCAATAAATTATGATACAGTTTCTATTCAACTTTTGACTCGATGCTTGATGTTACCGAATTCCCCAACTCCTGGGCTTCTGAAGTTCTGAGAGGTAATTGAAGCATAACGATCACTTACTTACATTAGCCAAGGCCATTTCAGGTTCCACTACCCTCCCGAGGTTGGAACCAGTGGGAGCCTAGAGCAACAGGCTTCTGGGGCACATTGCGCGTTCTCTTTGCAGCCTTTGAAAGATTCGTGGAATGGAATCGTGCCACTGTGACAGTCAGTCAATCTGACTCCGAATGCGGGTTTGGCTTTGCATCGAGTGGGGACTTTCGGTCCAAGAGAGACCAAGACCCTGAGTCCCTGAGCTTGATTGTTGCACTCGAACCCTTTTCTGTCTGTCTTGATCATGGATTGATGCCATTTCCATCATAATTCCAGGACCATCCTTATTTCTTCTTACTGAGTGTGTATAAACTACCATGGGTCTCACTCTCACCATCCTGGCTGTGCACTGTACCTTACTGTAAAAGTAGATACTACTACTACTACTCCTCCCATGTCGTCTAACGAGCTGCTACCCGAAGGGTGGTGTCGCAGTTAATTCCCTTCCCTGCATTCAGCGAATCAAGCACTGATTTACAATTAATCCCGTCTTCGTGCTGACATTGACAATCATAATAACTATCTACCGTCCGTAACTTCACTAATAATCAATCCTTCAATCCGTCCACCCTCCGACCACCTGCGCTCAGTTCACTTTTTCTTTCTCCCATCTTTCCTTCCAACCTCTCTGCGTTGTCAACTTCTGTGAGGAATTGTCTTTCTCCCGCGTTTGTATGCTCCTCCATCTCTTGTGCCTGTGATTGTCTCCCCTCCCTCTTTCCTCGGTCGCCGAACTCTGTACCTTTTTTTATTTTTTATTTTATTTTATTTTATTTTTTGGCTCCGCAGTGACGTCGCGTGTCTTTGACTTCAGGCGTAGGTACTCTTTAGTACTTAGTACTAGTCTACCTACCTTACCTACCTTCTCCGGACATTCCTCGCATCTTCACCTGACCTGCCCCTCTCGCGATTCTTGCGCTTGCTTGCCGGCGCCTCATGCGCTCTGATTGACCTCGATTCGATGACCCGATCCTTCCAGTCTCTTGCTGGATTCTAATCCTTTGTGGTCTCCGACAATGAGACTATCGAGTCGGATGTGGACGAGCTTGGTGACCGTCCTCCTTGCCGGTCAAGGAGCGGTTACCGCGCTTGAGCTTGACATTAATGATGTTGGTATGTATATCTGCCCCATCTGCGTCCAGACTTGATATGATCTGTGTCGCAAATTGCTAATCAGTCGGCGGACCGCAGAATCGATCAAGAATGCGGCTGCGACAACAGCCTACAACATGATGAGTAACTACACTGGCAACCAGACGGGCCAGATTCCTGGGAAATTGCCCGATACATGGTGGGAAGGCGGCGCCATGTTCATGACTTTGATACAGTACTGGTACTGGACCGGCGATCCATCTTACAATGAAGTTACCACTCAGGGTATGCTCTGGCAGAAGGGCAACGACGATTACTTTCCTTCGAACTACAGTAACTACCTCGGCAATGATGACCAAGTCTTCTGGGGATTGGCCGCTATGACTGCGGCGGAGCTCAACTACCCCGAGCAAGATGGCCAGCCGTCGTGGGTGTCGCTTGCGCAAGGTGTGTTCAACACCCAGGTGCCGCGCTGGGACACGTCCACCTGTCACGGTGGCCTGCGCTGGCAAATCTCTACCTACCAAGACGGCTACCGGACCAAAAACGCCATCTCGAATGGTGGTCTCTTCCAGCTTGCGGCACGACTTGCGCGGTATACCAACAACGAGACATACTCGCAGTGGGCGGAGAGGATATGGGACTGGTCTGCGACGACCCCGTTGCTCAAGGAGTCGGACTGGACCATCGCCGATACCACAACGACCGAGACTGAGTGCACGGACCATGGGGACCTTCAATGGACCTATAACTATGGCACCTATATCAGTGGTGCCGCTTATATGTATAATTACGTACGTTCCGCACCCTCTAATTCGAGAGCATGTTACAAATTAGGAAGAGCGAACTGACAAGACAATAGACGAATGGAGGCGACAAGTGGAAGAAGGGCCTTGATGGCTTGCTCGGCACCACATTCGCGCGGTTCTTCCCCTTTCAGAATGGCATGGTCATGTCCGAAATTGCCTGTGAGCCGAACATGAAGTGTGACCGTAATCAGGACTGTTTCAAGGGCTTCCTTTCTTCCTGGCTGACTTTTATGACCACCATCGTTCCGTATACGTCGTCCGAGGTCGTCCCAAAGATCCAGCAGTCGGCACTTGCCGCAGCCAAACAGTGTTCCGGCGGGACGAATCAGACCCTATGCGGGCGGCGCTGGCATCAAGACACCTTTGATGGAACGAGTTCATTAGAGGAGCAGATGAGCGCTTTGAGCGTTTTTTCATCCTCGATGATTGCGCACAAGATGCAGGCTCAGGCGCCATTGACCGCGGAAACTGGAGGTACGAGTAAGAGTAACGCGAGCGCGGGTACAGGAACAGAGCAAGCTGCCCCTCAACCGCAACCAGTCACAACGGGCGATCGTGCTGGTGCGGGAATCGTGACCGTGATCTTCCTTGGGGGCTGGATCGCAGCCGTGACCTGGATGGTCTACGGGAAATAAGAATGTCCAGCGATCCGCTTCCATGTTACGCCATCATGATCTGTATATATCTGTGGATGTCCGGCATCTGAGACGGAGAGCACATGGACCCGCGTCCCGCCTTCATTTCGCGCTCTTTTGTGCCACGGTTGCATGTTACTATTTGTATTCTAGTGGGCTTGTATGACCTCTGATCTAGGCTTCGTTGTGTTAGGAGCTGAGGCGTCTGGAGCAGCAAAATATCTTGACCGTTTTAATTCTTCTTTGATCATGGCTTCTTTTCAATAATGAATACTATATCAGCGTCTTGTCCGGGGCAGGATGTCTAATAAATATATCTTCTATTGGTCTTTGCAGACACTTGACCAGGCCAACTTTGTGATGCAATGCTAATGAGACTTGATGATGAAAATTTCCTGTCTGCAGGAAAAATCGTTGTCAGACATAGAAACACCACCTATTCAGGCTATGCTGGCAATCATGAACACCTATCTATCTACCTCCTGAATTGCGGTTGAAGAGTGACAATTTCATGTGAATTAGGCTGATTCATTCCTCAAGAACTCCAGTACAGTATCATTACCGCCGAGGGGGCTATGTTTCACCTTTCGGCCAATCAGCATTGATTACTAGGTCCATGCTCCACTCACACCTTATATATATTGTATTGTAAGGTAACCAGGAGTTCTCCTGCTAGGCTGCTCGAGACTTCAAGATATATTTTCACAGAGAAAATACTTGACACAGACGGGAGTAAGCCCTGAATAAAAGTTGCTTGAGCAGGTCCAAGGTCCGTGGGAGTGAGTTGCAACCACAGGACCATTAATAATCGCTATTTAAATTGACAGCGGGCTGTGTAAGCACGGAGAATGTGCGACAATATCCGTTGACCGGCGCCAGTCGAGACTCGCCCTTGCACACGACTCAGCCCTTTTGGGGGTTGCATCGTCTTCTTTCGTCTTCCATCGGTGTCACAAGAAATATACTAGCTACCTTACGTACGTATTAATATTGCGAATTCTTGGTGTGAAATGGCCTATGATATTTGTCTGCCTCGCGTTACCTGAGTACTTTAGTGCCCCTGACTCCCCCCTTTGTCCATTCATTATTCTTTCTGGTCGAATCCTCGCTACGCGATTTGGCTTCGCACACTCGCACTTTTTGATCAGTCCGTTCAATCTTACATCGTACGCCATACTTTGCTTCTCTTTCTTCTCCTCCCAAAGAGGCTCAGTTGCTCAAGTACGAGGAGAATAAACCTTTATATAGTCGATCCTCCAGTCTTCTCCGTCGTGGCCAGATCGCCCTTTGTCCCCCTCCACCCAACTAGTATCGCATCACTATTGGTTCCTGAACGTTTGAATCGTCCCGTTTTAGTACCACGGCGCCCCCTCCGCACTCTCCGTCCGAACCACACATTCCACACTTCTTTCACCGGCTTCGCTTCTCGTCATCCTTTCGTGATCTTCTCCCTTTTCCCTTCGAGAACTGCCTGATGAAATCCTCGTCCTCATCATACAGTGATTGATTATTTGCAAAGCCTCATCGTTTTGCCAACGTTGTAGCTTTTCACCATGCGGTGGCGGCTGCCTGGCGCCCGTACGACCCTCCCCGCCAGCGTCGCCCTTCTTCTGCTCCCTATTCTTGTTGCTCCGCAGCAGCTGCAGGAACATCATGACCTCCCCTCGACCGTGTCCGTTCCGCTCCCTCCGACACGACGTTCTTTCGACCATGACCCCCTTTCCACAATTAACGTGAAATCCAACGATGCGAGCGCCCTAGCAACCATGGCTCTGGCGGGCTCCGGCCGCGCCGTTCGAGCCCATCCTGCCCAGGCCAGCAGTTCGTCTGCCGGCCTGGCACCGCAGCTTCACGCGCGGTCTCTGCAGGATTGGGAGGTTGAGGACTTTGTCCTATTGGCGACCGTCGACGGTTCCATTCACGCGCGCGATCGCAAGACCGGCACAGCCCGCTGGGCCCTGGAGGTCCCGAGCAGTCCGATGGTCGAGAGCATCTACCATCGAGCCAACCGGTCGAGCTTCGATCGGGCTCAGCCCGAAGATGATTTCATTTGGATTGTCGAGCCGAGTCAAGACGGCAGCTTGTATATATATAGTCCCGGTCCGGATGCGGGGCTGCAGAAGTTGGGGTTGACCGTCAAGGAATTGGTGGAGCAGACTCCCTACTCGGGGACCGACCCGGCCGTTACCTACACGGCTCGGAAGGAGACAACGCTATATACCGTGGATGCGCGGACTGGAAATATTCTGCGAGTTTTCAGCTCCAGGGGTCCTATCACCTCTGGGCACGAGTGCCGCAAGGTCGACGGTTTTGACCTGGAAGCGGAGGAGTGTGATACACCTTCCGGCACCCTGGTACTTGGTCGTGTTGAGTATGCTGTAGCGATACAAAATACAGAGACTGGTGATCCGATCTGCACATTGAAGTACTCCGAATGGACGGCCAACAATCGCGACATGGATCTTCAGAGCCAGTACTTCCGGACGATGGATCAGAGTCACATTTACAGCATGCATGACGGAGTGGTGTTGGGATTCGATCACTCACGAATGGACCGTCCTCGTTACACTCAGCGTTTTTCGTCTCCTGTGGTTCGTGTCTTCGATGTCGCGCGCCCCGTCAACGTCGAATCGCCCGAGGCAGCCACTCCGCTTGTGCTTCTTTCGCAGCCTCTGCAGCCGCCTGATCCCGACTACGGCTCGTTGGATGACAGAGATGCAAGGGTGTTCGTTGATTGCACTGAGGCGGGCGGTTGGTTTGCAATGTCTGAGGAGACTTACCCTCTTGTTACAGGACGGGCCAAAATGGCTCAGTGCTACGAGAAAGATTACCTACGGCACGGCCAGGCCCTCACAAGCTTGTCGACTAGTCAACAGCGCGATGCGCTGGCGGGAGTTCACTCGCTGAATGGTCCCCGGATTATCCGCAATATCCCTAGTATCTCGGGGTCATCACCCCTAGAGCTAGCTAATGATACTCCTCGAGAATTAATGCGCAGTCCCTCCGAACTGGCGCTGCCACCTGCCCTGCGGCACAGTACAATTATCCGAAAAGGCTGGGATAACGCTGTTGATATCTTCGTGACCCTCCTACTGTTGTTCTTTGGCGCCTTCATCTACTTCAATTCCCACAACATACAGGAACTCGCCAAACAGAAACTGGACGTCAAGAACATTATCGCTTCCTACGCTCAGCCTCCACTGTCGACTCCCTCCACTCCTGTTGTCGGAACCACTCATTTCAAGCGTGATAACAGCCCAAGCAGACCAATATCGAACCTCACGGTCGAGGTTGAGGTGCCTGAAGAGCAACAAGGTGGCGATGCGACCCCAAAGCCGAAGCGAGATCGCAGTATCGTTGGCCCTGATTCCACTCCTCGAGTGAAAATTCGAGAACCTCCCCGTGGCCACGACAGTGACGACGATGTTGATGAACTGGACCAGGCAGGATCATCCGAGAAGCCTAAAAGGAAAGCCCGCCGAGGTAGACGGGGAGGCAAGAATCATAGACGCGGAAAGAAACCTGACTCGGAAGGTGAATCAAAGGATCAGGCGGACCGAGTCGTGGACGAACTGAACAGCCTGCAGCCTCAGTCCCGCCTGGAGCCCGACGTCCAATTAGTGAGGACCGTGTCCAACGAGGTTGTCGAAATGGACGGTGTTGTTCAGATTGGCCGACTCAAGGTGTTCAGCGACGTTGTTCTCGGCCATGGCAGCCACGGAACGGTCGTGTACCGCGGATCCTTTGATGGCCGGGATGTTGCGATCAAACGCATGTTGGTTGAGTTCTATGACATCGCGTCTCATGAAGTCGGACTATTGCAGGAGAGTGACGATCATAACAACGTCATTCGCTATTTCTGTCGCGAGCAAGCCGCCGGTTTCTTTTACATCGCTCTGGAGCTGTGTCCGGCGTCTCTCCAGGACTTGGTTGAACGTCCCGGTGATTACCCCCAGCTGGTTCAGGGTGGCCTGGATATGCCAGATATCCTGCGTCAGATCATTGCTGGTGTTCGGTACCTGCATTCTCTCAAGATTGTGCACCGAGACTTGAAGCCGCAGAATATCCTTGTGGCTATGCCTCGAGGACGCACAGGCTCGCGGTCTCTGCGACTGCTCATCTCTGATTTTGGTCTATGCAAGAAGCTTGACGATAATCAGAGCTCGTTCCGAGCAACCACAGCGCATGCCGCAGGTACGTCTGGTTGGCGAGCTCCGGAATTACTGGTAGACGACGACAACCGTTCGGCGATCCAAGGCGGCGAGTCTCAGCATACCGAGTCATCTGAACCAGCGGTGGTGGATCCACAAACCAACAGACGAGCAACTCGCGCCATCGACATCTTCTCCCTGGGTTGTGTTTTCTATTACGTGTTGACGCGGGGTAGCCACCCCTTCGACAAGAACGGGAAGTTCATGCGGGAGGCGAATATTGTCAAGGGCAACTTCAACCTGGACGAACTCCAGCGCCTAGGCGATTACGCCTTTGAAGCAGACGACCTGATTCGATCAATGTTGTCTCTTGACCCTCGCAAACGGTTAGCTCTTCTTTCTCTTCTCCAGACGTCCGCATGCACTTACTGACTCTCCCCAGACCCGATGCCAGTGCCGTTCTGATGCATCCTTTCTTCTGGAACCCGTCCGACCGTCTCAGCTTCCTCTGCGACGTATCGGATCATTTTGAGTTTGAGCCACGGGACCCTCCTTCGGACGCCCTTTTGTGTCTCGAATCCGTGGCTTGTCGTGTGATGGGCCCTGAGATGGATTTCCTACGCCTTCTGCCCAAGGATTTCAAGGACAACCTCGGCAAGCAGCGCAAGTACACGGGCTCGAAGATGTTGGACCTTCTCCGGGCGCTACGTAACAAGCGCAATCATTACAACGACATGCCGGCACATCTCAAGGCACACATTGGCGGCTTGCCAGAGGGGTACCTGAATTTTTGGACCGTTCGGTTTCCCAGTCTTTTGATGAGCTGCCACTCGGTCATTGTAGAGTTGCGCTTGACCAGGATTGACCGGTTCAAGCGATATTTTACCCCGGTTGAGTAGATTGGGTCTTTTGGACGATTTTGGATTATTTGATATATACTTCACATTTACTGAATATATAGAACTCGTTGTTCATCATGATTGCATACTTTAGGGGGACATGGCATGGTGGCAGCAGCCTCGCGTGCGGTTTGCTTCCACGGAGACCTGTCACAAAGCCACTGATCAATGATGGACCCAAATCTCCAGAGGAGTACTAGTATCAATCACTACATGATGTCCGTCTCTGACAGCATTCGACACCTGTCACATTTCTGTAGAGGGTAAAACCCTGTAGTAGTTAGTTAAATTCTGGTAAATTTAGGTGGCTGGTGCAGACAGTGGAGCCAACCAGACTATGCGACACCATGGCGGTACCTTTTAAAGTGGCCCATTTCAGTCGCGCGTGGGTGACCGCGACGGGTTTCTCCATGTGTCTCTACTCTCATCGCTGTCTCTTCCACCAGACACAATCCTTTGTGTTGCTCATTCTTTCAATTATTGAATATTCTCTAACCTCTCCATTGTGTTACTCTTACTCCCTACATGTTCATCGTCTCAGCTTTTGAGCAATTTGATTGATCCCCCACTTCTGCACTTTACAACACCGACGGAAAATCTTCACATCGCCGCTTTCCGACTCTTCGCTATCTCGAAAATCTACGGAGCACCTGACCTACTGTGCTCGCATTATTATGATACTCTGTGATACTGCTGCATAGCGACTTCCATCTCCATACACCTGTTCCCCGGTATGGTTTTCCTACGTCTTACGGTCAAGGTCTACCCTCGCGAACAGACCCAGTCCTCTTCGTCCTTTTCGATCCGCTCGTTCCTGGGTGACCGTGACCGCGATGCTTCGAGTCAGGGCTCCTCTGGACCGACGGCGGGGAAGCCGGCTTCCTTCCTGTTGGTCCTGGAGAACCCCGAGGAGGTGACGCTCGGTGGATTGGCGGGCATGATCCGGGAGAAGTGGGCGAAGCTGCGGCCGGGTGCTGAGTGAGTTCCCTCCGTCCTGCCGGATTGAATTTGGAAGGGGGGAGGTATGGTGTTGTTGAGCTGCGCTTACGGATACCGCGACTAGGCCTCTGGAGATCAAGAAACTTGTCGACGACGAGCACGACTCCGACGATCTCGATGCCGAGTTGACCGTCGCCGATGTGTTTGTGGATAATGGCCGGGCCCGCACCGATGGCGCCGACCAGCGCGGAACGGTCCGTGTGATTCAGAAACCGGCGCCCTATGCACCTGTCCGGTTCCCCTCCGTGACGCAGGACTGGGATGCCGCTGCGCAGGACTTTGAGCGCCAGATCAAGATCAAGAAGGAGGCGGTGCAGGCGAGTCTGCGCAAGATTCCCACTATCCTCGAGGAGTCTCAGTCGTTTTCAGAACGCGATACATCCACTGACCAGGTGAATGGGGGCGCTGCGCCTGCGGACGATCGCGAGCGTCGCAGGGACATGCCGCTTTCCTCGGTGGAGCATGATGAGATCCCCATGTCGCCTCCGCGGTGGGGTGAGTCGCCTGTGCACGAGAAGGACTCGCAGGATCCGCAGAGTAGTACTGTTGTGGCTACGCCACAGCACAAGCGCATGGAGAGTCAGGAGCTGGGGGAGTCGCCTTCACCGGAACGAGAACGGACCCCGACGCCCAAGGCGTTGACATCTCCCGCAAAACGCGGCTCGGTCTCGAAACAGGTGCCTGCCAATCGGTCGATCTCGCAGTTTGTCTCGGAGCCGGACTTTCCCTCGTCGAATCAAACGGAGCGCGAGCGCAGCGGGTCGGAGTCGCCCTTGAGTCCGAGACAAGCACCGTCTCAGCTGGAACGCGAGCCGGGTGAGGAGGAGGAAGAAGAAACTGATGATTTGGACAAGGATGGAGATGTGGCGATGGATGATGGCGATGTTGCGGCGACGGAGGAAGTACACCCTGAGGCCGAAGCCACCAGTCCCAAGGAGACGGACGAACCGATGGTGAATGGAAGCAAAGAGAGTTCCTCTAGGGGAGAGATGCCCGCGCTTCGACAACGCAAGAGAAAGCAGAGCTTGGAGGCAGAAGAGCGCAACAAGAAGCCTCGTTTGGAGCCCAGCAGCCCTGGATCGTCGGACAAGGAGAACAAGCCGAGCCAGGACCTGTCCGAGCCAGCTGTCAGCAGCCCGTCCGCTCGAAGACATGAGAGGGCACCGTCGTTCTCTGGCATCGGCCGACGGTCGAGTCTCTCCGAGAAACCCACCGAGGCTGCGAAACCCGGTCTCGGGCTGGGTATCACGAAGAGCCCCCCTGGCAAACAGTCGGTGATGCTTCCGTTGTCCCAGGAGTCGACCGGGTCGGTATCAGCCACTCCCCTCTTTTCCAGCAGAGCGCCTACGATCCGCCGTGCATCGTTGGTGGAGAACGATGCCACACCGTCCAAGCAGACTCCTGCTCTGGACCGAGTGAAGCACCTGCATTCGGCTTTGCGGAAGGATTCGCCTGCCGACAAGTCCGCGCAACGCCGGTCTGTGTCTTTTGCCGAGGAAGACGACGTAGTCATTACGGCCTCGACCCCGATTCCCAAGTCGACTCCGCAGACCAACGCCAAGGGCAAGGGGACACCAGGTTCTGCTGCCTCGTCCGGAAAGAAGTCATCGACACCGAGCAAGATGGTGTTCCCTACCGGTGTTCCTCCAGAACGGGTGGAACAGTTGATGCGAGAAGCGAATCAGAAATTCGAAAAGCAGAACAAGGACAGGGAAGAAGTCGAGGAGATGATTAGAGTTGCCAAGGAGCAAAATAGGGATCCGGCGTACCTGCGCAGTCTGGAAGAGCTACTGGCCAAACTGGAACGGGTCCAGAAACTTGAGAAGCGAAACCGCAGCAGCGAGAGAGACAGGCTCGAGCGAGCTCGCGCTGAGCTGAGAGAGAAGCGGAAAGAAATTGCCAAAATGGAGGCAGATATGAGTGCTTCTTCGCAGGATGGCAAGCAACTGAAGGCGGATTTGTCAAAGACTAACGGGAATGCAAGCACACCAAAGGCCGATACCGCATCAAAAGCGAAGGGCAGTGCGAAGAAGTCGACACCAGCTGCTGAACGGAACGGCTCCCCGAAAAAGGCAGCGGAAGTAAAGAAGGGAACAGAGCCATCTACTACTTCTCCAACTGCCGAACGCAAAGGCTCGACTAAGAAGGTAGCGGAGGCCAAGAAGGGACCGGATTCGACTGCTACTCCTACAGCGGCCAAGTCCCGCACGACAGAAGAGGAACCGAAGGGCACTCCGAACGAACCACCAGAGAGCTCCGCTGAGGACGCCAAGCTGCCTCCTGTGACGAAGATCCAGCGCGGCGACCTCCCCAAGGCCAAGGCAAATGGCACGAAGAAACCTTCCCCCTCCGAGCCAGTAGACGTGTCCTCCTCCTCCTCCTCCTCCTCCTCCTCCGAAGAATCCTCCGAGCACTCCGAATCCGAAAACGAGGATGACGACGAGACCGACGCTGAGGCCGACACCCAGACCGGCAGCAGCGACAAACCCGCCAAGAGCAAGGCCGACCTCCTCCGCCGCGGCAGCGCAACCCCTTCGTCGCAAGGCAACGCGCGGTCCCCCGCACCGTCGCAGTCGGCATCGCAATCCTGGGGTCAACCGATCAACGGGACGCGCAGCCGGGCCACGCTCAAGACGCTGCTCGTCGACAAGAAGAAAGAGTCGGCGGAAAAGGCGCAGCAAGCGAAGAAGAAGGTCGTCGGCGCGCCGAAACGGCCGCGGAATATCTTCTCGCCTCCGTCGGACGACGATACCGATGAGAGCGAGTCGAGCTCCAGCTCCAGCTCCAGTTCGAGTGAGAGCGAGAGCGACAAGGACAGTGACAGCGATAACGAGAGCCATAGCAGTGCGGATGATGGAGATATCATGTCTAGTGGGACAGTGGGGAAACTGCGCGCCGCGCGAAAGAAGTAATCTAGGGCCTTGTAGATGGTCTGGCTGATTTTCTTTCATTTAGCCTGTCGTGCGTTCAAGCATACTCTGTATTCATTTCGATGTGTTGTCTGGTAGGCTACAGGTTGGTTTCATATGTATCGGACGGGTATTGCTGGAAGCATTCATTCTTAGGTTACTATCTACTATGTGCTTTCCTCGCCACAGTGATCATTTTGTACAGTAGACTTGTGATGACGAGTCCACATCACGCTGGCGCTGTACCGACTCTCATAAAGCCAACTTTAGAACAACGAGACGTCCAGATAGCCGGATCTCTGGGCTACCAGACTGACAAATTCATCTCGATATCCCGACCGGCGGAGAACCTGACATACTCCGTACAGTCTGAGTATACATAACCATGCGCCCAACCCATGCGTGGGTGAGAGGGCGATTCGAGGTTGATGGACTGAGAGGGGAAACGCGAGTAATTGCAGGATATGCAGATTCCACACGTGAATCTTGCGAGTCAGAGGACGTCTAGACTTATAGATGGAATACCAAGAATAGCCGGATACTTTGAAGGATGATCTATTGTTGACTCGGCCTCATGAATAGACAGCCAATACAAGCTGAATCTGGTCTGTCAGCCCAGTATGACGTTCAGCTGCATACTCAGGCAGACGAATAACGGCGTATCGGCCTCATCTTGGACCGATCCAGACAAGAGTACTGCCAGTCTGACAGGTCGTTGGGTTGGGATTTTTGTGTCTGCCTTCTGGTCGGGGGGATTGTTGGCCCGGTTGAGGTGAGTGAGTCACGGGTTACGGGTTGTTGAATCGAGCACGACTTATTTATAGTCATCGGTTTACCCACTTGTCCGAGGGAACAAATGTTGGCCATCACAAAATGAGTTCCCAATACTCCCTCTCCCTCATCGCAGGGACGATAGCTGTCTTCCTCTACACCCTCACGGTGCTCCACCGCAAATGGAGGCAGCATCGCTTCGCCCGGGAGCACAACTGCCAACCACCCCCGCGTATCCCCTCCAAAGACCCCTTCTTCGGGCTGGATCGCACCTATACCACTATCAAAAATGTCAAGGAGCACAAATTCCTGGAGCGCGGGCTGGCCCGTTTCAACGAACTTGGCCACACCATGACGGCCACTCGGCTCTCTGAAACGATCATCCTCACCCGCGACCCCCAGAACATCAAGACCATCCTTTCTCTGCGCTTCAAGGACTACGGACTGGGCTCGCGGATCCATACTTTCGGTCCCCTGCTCGGCCATGGCATCTTCACCACCGACGGCGAGCACTGGGCGCAATCGCGCGCCATGATCCGGCCCAACTTTGTGCGCGACCAGGTCGCCCACCTCGGCATATTCGAGGCGCTGATGGCCGATCTGATCGATCTGATCCCCGGCGACGGCAGCACCGTCGACCTCCAGGACCTGTTCTTCAGCTACACCATCGACTCGGCGACGGAGTTCCTTTTCGGGCAGAGCGTGCAGAGCCTGAAGAAGCGCCGCTCGGGCGGCCGCGACGCAGGGGTCGAGGACGACTTCGCCAGCGCGTTCAACTACGCGCAGCATGCGATCGCCATGCGGATGCGGCTGGGTGCGCTGACCAGGTTCTACCGCGACCGCAAGGCGGAGCGGTGCAATCGCATCTGCCACGCGCTGGTGGAGCAGTTTGTCGACAGGGCGCTCGAGGTGCGGGCCCAGGGACTTGACGAGAAGACCCTCGAGGACGGCGACGGCGAGAAGAAACAGCGGTACCTGTTCCTGCACGGCCTGGCGCAGCAGACTGGGGACCGGCGCCGCATCCGCGATGAGCTCATGAATGTGCTCCTTGCCGGTCGGGACACGACGGCCTCGCTGCTGAGTAACCTGTTCTTCATGCTGGCCAAGCACCCGCGCATCTGGGCCAAGCTGCGCGAGGAGGTGGCCTTTTTGAACGGTCGGCCGCCGACGTACGAGCAGCTGCGGAATCTGACGTATCTCAAGTATTGCCTGAACGAATGTACGTGCTGATTTGATTTAACCCCCCCTTTGTCAAATGATGCTAACTGACCAGCCCTTCGGATGCACCCCGTCGTCCCGGGAAACGCCCGCTTCGCCAACACCGACACCGTCCTCCCCGTAGGCGGCGGACCGGACGGCCAATCCCCCGTCTTCGTCCCCAAGGGCGCAATCGTCACGTACAGCGTGTGGTCGATGCACCGCCGCGAGGACTTTTATGGCCCCGATGCAAACGAGTTCCGTCCGGAGCGCTGGGCGGATCTTCGGCCCGGATGGGAGTATCTCCCCTTCAACGGGGGCCCGCGCATCTGCGTGGGACAGCAGTATGCGCTTACGGAGGCAGGGTACGTGACGGTCCGGCTGGCGCAGCGGTTTGCGGTGCTGGAGAGTCGGGATCCGGGGCCGTGGGAGGAGAGTCTGACCCTGACCTTGTGTTCGAGGAATGGGACCCGAGTGAGTCTGAGGAATTAGCTGTATATCTCTTCTCTTTGTATACATATGTTTATATGGTTATTATGCCGGAAAGTACGGCCATAGCTAGCTATGGAACATTAATCCCCTCAAGATCCTTCTCCTCATGGGCCGTTGCTCCCTCGAGCCATGCCGCGGGGGGAGCCTGGTCAACGATACAATTCCACCCAAACTTATCCTCGATCTTACCGGCCTGGATGCCCTTGAGGGTCTGCAACAGCTTCACACAGACCTCGCCGCCACTCTGCCCATCCTCGCCGCAGTCAAAGGTAAACTTATCCCCGCGCGACCGCATACTGATGCTCCGGATGGGCACCAGCGCCGCCGCCGTGCCCGCGGCAATCACCTCGCTAAATTCCTGAATCTCCTCATACGCGATGCGTCGCTTCTCGACCGCAAACCCAAACACCCGCTCCCCAATCTCACACACCGACCGCGCCGTCACCGAATCAATCACATTCTTACTATCCGGCTGCACAAGCGTCACCCCGTCCCCGTCCCTGCGCACCCCGATAAACGCCGACGTCGAGAACTCGTCGATCTCCGAGCGCGTCCGGCTATCGAGGTGCAGCGTGATGCCGAACCCCTCGGCGTGCGCGCGCGCACTGTGCCGCAGCACAGGCGCATAGTTGCCCCCGACCTTGGCGGCCCCGGTCCCCTCGGGCGCGGCGCGGTCAAAGTCCTCGAGGATCAGGGCGTCGACCGCGTGCACGCCGTGGTACACGCCGGTCGGCATCACGAAGACCACAAAGGTGTACGCGTCCGGCGGGGAGAGGCCCAGCTGCGCGGAGGAGCCGAAGAGCAGGGGGCGGATGTACATGGCGGCGCCGGTCTCGTGGGGCGGGACGAACTCGGCGTTGGCGGCGACGGCCAGCCTGACGCATTCGACGAAGAGGTCTTCGGGGACGGGGGGCATGGAGACGAACTCGGCGGAGCGGCGGAGGCGGGCGGCGTTGCGGTCGGGGCGGAAGATGGAGATTTGGCCTGTGGGGTGGCGGAAGGCTTTGAGGCCTTCGTAGGCCTGCTGGCCGTAGTTGAGGCCGGGGGCCATGC